AGGGACAAGAGGTTGATGAAAGAGACTCGGCCAATCACAGCCCGGTTTCTGTAGTTCTGGATGGTAGTGTCACGGACGAAGCTGGGAGTGAAGGAAGCAATACAGATAGCGGAAAAGGTAAATATCGATAATCATTAATGATGAAATTCCATATATTTAGATTGGTAGAATATTGATTTTAAGAAAATATAGTTAATGAATTGTTATTTCCTAGAGATCTTTGGGTGGGATTTAGATGACAACAACTTCATCCGGCTTGAATACAATCAATTTTTATGTCTTCATACAGGTGGAAGTATTAATGGATGCAGAAAAGACAACATTGCATCATCCACGTACGATTTTGCTATACCGCAACATTTAGTGGGCAGATTGATTGGCCGTCATGGTAGCTTTTTACACAACATTCGTACAAAAGCAAATGTCGGCATATATGTCAATGATCACCCTTGCGATGGCGATCATAAGATTTGCTCGATACGAGGTAGTGTTGAGGGAATTAATGTCGCGCTTAAAATGGTAAGGCAGAAGTTTCCAGAGAAAAGATTCCCGCAAGTAACATTAGCGGAGATCTCAACAATATCCGAGGTGAATGAAGAAGTTGCATACAATGTCTTTATACAACGACCTCTGTCCCTGGTTGATGGCGTTAATAATGACATTAATATTTGTCACATTGTCAAGCCAAATTGGCTCTTTGTTCGTCTTCCGACTCATCCATCATTTCCCCTTTTACAAAATTTAGAAGACAGCATGCAGTATTGGTATAACACAGAATCGGTACCAGTTCCGGATGTATTGAACAGTAAGTGATATAAATTTAATTCATATAAAAAACAGAAGCAGGACTATAATGTATTGTTTCGTAGAGGGTGATTACGTAGCTGTATATTGGATGGAGAATTGGGTTAGAGCATATATTGAATGGCCAGATCCATCAGGAGAGAGAAGCGTAGTGCGATTACTCGATTACGGTGGTTATTGGTCGGTTAACAATTCGGAATGTAGACCATTGATATTAAATTATTTAAGCTTGCCCTTTCAAGCGATTGAAGTCTTTTTAGCAAATATTCAGCCAAAAAATGGTATGTTGTATAATAATTATATGTTGATGTGTAATGTATATATTTTGCAGATTATAGTTTTATATCTCTATTCAAAATTATTTCGAATACATTATATACTATTATATTATTTATATAGGTAAATGGTCATCAGAAGCTTACAATGTGGTACAGAATTGTTCTTCAAAGGGAGTTGCACAAGCGCAGATTGAAGGTCGTATTCAAAGCAATACCTATGCAAACATTTATTTTATCATACAAAATTACGGGGTAAGTTACTGTTTCAACTCTGAAAATCTTTTTGCAGACGTTTTTGATGAACAAATTAATTTAATTTTTTGAAGGTAATTTCCCTTACTGAAGAATTGATAACAAACGGATACGCTGAAAGAGTAGTATGGGAGGATATGAAGCCAGAAACACTTGAATCCATATGTACATAAGAGTTGTAAAAAACTCTAAAATTTTCAGATTTCCTACCGAATTATCATACATAATCTACAGTTCTTAGTCAGTATGGACTAGAGTTTAGTACAATCGCGTCAAAATTGATTTTGCTTTTTGACTTTGTTGTTCTGTACTAGTATTTCTTAATTTTTCATTGAAGTCTGTGAATATTCTGACATATATTTCCTAGTGATTGATTATATACATAGAGAAATTAATAATGCAGTATATATACATATATATATCATTCTAATAATGAATAAGGCTATATTTCGCTGTACAGAAAACAGATATTTTTGTCGTGTTTAAGTAGCATTTAGTACTCCCTTAACATTGCTCAGAAAAAATGCATTTTGTAAGTACAAAACTCGTTATTTCAAACGAGTTCTGACAAGTACAAAAGATTTAGTCCGATAACGTAAGAACCTTTTTTACAGTAAGTCTTTAAATTATATTTCTCACTTGTGATATCTTCTCTCTTTTATCTGGAAAATTGAACTTTTCATCGGTAAAGTTATTTGCAGAACAAATTTCTTTCAGATAATTTCACATAAACATTCAGAAAAGTGCTTTCGTTATTTAAGCGCCTTAAGACTGTTTTAAAGAAGATGCAACTGTGCTTAACTCTTCTATATCCTTGTACTCTTGTATATATTGTAAAATAATTTTCCGATTGTAGAATATTTATATTTAGGAAAAGAGAAATCATAAAGATTTGCTATGTAGCTCGTAGAGTAGAATAAATAACAATTTTGCATTTTACAAAGTAGCGTCACATCCAAACTAAAATTGTATTGAATAACTCAGACGAATTAGGAAATTCGTTTCTACGTGACTCATATTCATTTCTGATTAGGGACGATTCGAGAATCCATTGAAATAACTTAAGCTTTCTTTTTCACGTTAATTTTAGATCATCTTAGATTAAACTTGTTACTGTATTTGTTATATTTCATTGAATGTCCCATGTTATCTAATCAAAGTTATTTAAAGGTTATTAATTCATATAGAGATTTATCTTTTAAACATTATTTTTCAGTAATTTGTATTCTGTGTAACTTCACTATCGTAGCATAAAATTATTTTTATTTTATACTTGCTATTTTTCTAAGATGATTTTTGGCATTTCAAAAAGACTAAACTTTTGGATTAATCCAGACGTACGCATGTAATACTGTATATATTTGTTTACTTAGAATCGATCATTTTTGCGCAATATGTTAACACTAATCTTTTTCAATGCAGTAGAAACTAGTTAATTGAATAAGAGTCTATAATGATTTGTAACTCGTACATTGCGTTCAACTGTAACGTTTGGCAGTTATAAAATGTTAATCTTTAATATTGTTGATTGAACGTAATATAGAAATATTTTTCTAGGAATATATACATATATATATATATATACATACATGTAAGATTATGATCATTAAATCGCTCACAGTATACATGCTTTCTCGCGCGCTGCGATTAACTCAATTTATTATAATTTATTAGCGACAATATGGCGCAACGAACGTTGTTACGTAATAATCAATCGTAATTCATTTGTGTATATAAAATACGTAGCTGACTGCAATTTTTGACTTTCAAATTTTGTACAACACTTCATTGTATTAATCATTATATAAGTAAAATTTAATAACTTTTGTATATTCATCAATATAATCTTTGCAGTTATTACACTTGCATCAATTTTTACCGCAAGTTTCTCTTACACATCTTTTATACGTCTTCTGTTAAATTATAGAATAATAAGAACTTCTTTTTCTACAGCAAAAGAGAACAGTGTTGTGCTAAGATTTAAACCATGTTTTGTATTGTAAAACAGAAATAAAAGATGTTTGTAAATAGCCAAATTTGATTATATCAAAATTTTTTCTCAATTTTCCTAATTTATGAAAGAAACATTTCTGAATCGAGCATATTCTGAATATCGTATTTATGTTGATTAAGATACGCAAAGAGTTATATTTTCATCAATTTGTATTTTTAAGTTTTATCCTTGTTTATCATTTAAAAAAATTTTGTACTGTTGAACGCAATTTTAGTCTAGGATAAAAAACGCACGACGCGTTTCATTCGAAAGACGAAAGACATTAATGATTCAGTTATAATCAGAAATCTCGAGAAAAATTTTATGTATACATAATGTTACAAATTATGTAATATTTTCTTTAACTGTGTACGCAAGTATGTAAAAGAATTGAAAGATTGATTTCTATAGATCTTTATATGTACAAAAGTATGTTTTCACTTTTGCACTTTTTATATTCGAAATGAAACAAGTGTATAATTAATTAATCATTAGAATCTCAGATTGATTGTGTTTAAATGTCCGAATGTTTCGGCGCACAGTCACATTTGAGATAAATTAAATTCATGAACCAAGAATATTATATTATTCGAAATATCTAACTTTGATTTTAGATGCTCTCTATATTTATGTTGATAATTAATTAAATATGAAACGAGAGGAAAGATGAAGCATACAAAAGTGCTTTCCATTTAGACCCAGTTGCACCAACGTTACTTTGACTTGCAAAGCTTAAGACTCTCTCTGTCTCTGTCTCTCTTTCGCTTTAAAATGAGAGAGTTTTAAGTCTCGCTTAAAGTCAAAATAACGTTGGTACAATCGGATCTTAGTGACACAAGTCTACACAAACATTATTTTATCCTTCATAATATTGATAGAATATAGATAATAAAGAATAACACTCGTCAACTTATGTCACCAAATGGAAAGCATCCAATGAGTGTGATCCACTTAACGCTGCAAATACTTCGTTGACCAATCAGAAGAAAGAATTTTACGAATTGACCAATCAAAGAATGCTTTAAAGTATTTGCAGCGTGAATGAATCGCATCTTATGGCTGCGTTCGGAAATGTCGCTCGAATGCCTTCAATACCTTGGATTCTGTTGGATTCAGAGAGAATCAAGGAAGAATGGAGCGGAAAAGTGATTTTCTTCTCTGATTGGTTCCGCCATGTCTAGTGCACTTCATTAATACACTGCACTGTACGTATATAACATACACACAATACTATTGCGGTACAATATTAGTGTGTGTATCACCGTATGTTTCATTACACTCCTACCATGACTGCGTTTCGCTTCATATATGATGCGCATGATGTATTATTTTATCTTTTTTTAATATTTTATATATTAGATGAACAACAAGGATAAAACGATATATCATGTGCACCAGAGAGAATCAAAGGAAAGTGGAGTGGATTCATCCGGAAGTCGCCATGTTTAGTGCACCGTTAAAGTGAGTAGGAGATATAGTAGTAGTGATGTGTGTGAAACATACAGTATTGTACCATACTAGTATGTATTGTGTGACATATATGTACTTACATTTGCGGAAGTACAGTATAAATGGCGGAACCAATCAGAGAAGAGAACCACTATCCGTTCCACTCTCCTTTGATTCTCTCTGATTCTCTCCATCTTACTCTTGCTTTATTTATGACACGTGCTGTGAACGTGTTGCAGGTCAACAGCTGACTCGATTGTTGACGCAGAAGAGGATTGATGTGTCGCGTATTTCGAGACTTTCGCCTCTCGGCGGTACACTCAGCTTTCTAGTCGACCGCTCCGACCATTACGAATGTCGCGATCCGAATGTATCTGATACGTGTGCTCTGACATGGTCTCTCTTGGAAGTTACAAGGAGAGCCGGCACTCTCACGTACTCATGCCAGTACTTCTAAGTGCCTGCGCTATCCCGATTTCGATGTTCTTTTGGATAGTCAACGTGGTTTACTCGATACTGTGGCCAAACACCGTCAACTCGATAGAAGGTTTCATGTATACGACATATGATTTTAAATGCGTTCGTGAATAATTATATTAGGGATTAGAATAAAGAAATATTTATAGTGTACGTATATATTGGTACATACACGTGACATTGCATGAATAATTAGATCCTTATGGGGGGATCCTAATTTGGAGCACTAAGAAATAGGAATTTAGGAATTTTTTTTTTAACTATTACTCCTAAAAACTTTAAATTTTAAGGGCATTTTTATACATATTTATTAGTTAATTATAAATTTTTTCAAATGATTTTATTAAGATTTGTCCGAGATATATGCCATATTGCACGAGATGTTTTGTGTAACCATAATTTGCCGTTGACATTGTAGAACCTATTCGACGATCTGAAACAAAAAAGTAAGGTATATTTTCATATGTTATTAATTCCTCTTCTGTGTAAATCTCGTTCTGGGTTTACTTACTTAAAAAATTGCAAAATTTTTTTAAGTAAAACTTGTTTGAAAAAAGATTTTTTTCATTATTTTTTCGACACATTTTTAACAAAAAAAAGAGTTTATTATTAATATTTTATTAGTTTTATAGGTTTACACAAAAGATATAACAGTTATTTCGAATTATCCAAAAGATGAAGCCAATCCGGTATTGGTTTTTGTATGATGATGACAACGGATTTGAAAAATACGATTTCGAGAAAAATACGTTTAAAATTTTAGATTTATTTACACACAGTTTTTTATACTTACAGTTAATTTCTGGTTAATCTGTTATTCCTGATTCATAAAATAAATCTTCTGCTTCCTCAAAAAATTTAAATGTTAAGCACAGTTGACGCTGTATTTTTTGCAGCCGCATTCCTTTAGTCTTTGTTTAGGAGACACATACTTTTAATTATAAGTATTTTTTGTATATTAAAAGGATGAAATTCTTATTCAGTTTTTTTTCTTGAATTGTGATGACTATTAATTTTTATATATAAAACCACACATTCAACGTTTATTTACATTTCATATAAAAATATAAAATTTAAATAAACGTGTGGTTTTAAGAGTATTTTATAACAAAGATGAAATAATTTTGTAAATAAAAGTTTTTATTTATAAAAATTATAAAGATTTTTAATTATTATTATAAAATATTTTTGAAACTATTTTCAACTTTTATTTAGAACATTTTTTTACATCTTTGACGGTTTAGACAATATTCACTCAAAGAGAAAAAAACTGATTTTTTTTAAGAAAGTGTTTTGTCCCCTTTAAATATGAAAAAGCATTTAAAAAAAAATGTGTTTTATATTTAACATATCTATATTTTAATATATTTGAAGACCTCTGTGAAGTTGGCACCTCATTTTTCAAAAAATGAAATTTTAGTCACAGTTTCGAATGCATCCCGAAGAGTTGTGAAGTTCCTGTTCAAAATTAAAAATAGTTTCCGATAAATTAATACAAAAAAATCGAAAATTAAAAATTTGGGGTGCTAACTTCACAAAATGCAGAACGAAAAATCGCGATATTTTCAAAACCATTAGTCCTAGCGTTTTAAATGATAATAACTTTTGATTGAACTCTTGGAATGCTATTCAGAACTGTCAACAGAATTGCCGTAGCGTTCAAGTAACTCGGTGAAAAATTATCGCAGACAAAAAAATCAAAAAAGCATTTGAAAGGTTAAAATCTCTTTCGAAATCAGTAATTGGCAATTCAATCTGACTAATTCTTTACGGAGATATACGGACACAAATACCCGTCAAATCTGAAAATTTTTTACAAACTTTACCAAGATCTATGGCGTGAAGTAAAATTCACAAAAATGCGGTGCATGGCAAAAGTGATCATTTTTGCTTTAATGTTTAATAACTCGGTGAAAAAAAAGCACTTAATAAAAAAGTAAATGGAAGGTAAAGATTCACTCTTTCGACTGCTGTAAACCGCATTTTTGTGTGATTTTTACTTGACGCCATAGACTTTTATAGAATTGGTACAAAATTTTCAGATTTGACGGGTATCCATTTGCGTCCATATACGGTAAGTCAAGTAAGATCGTAGTCGGTCTTACTCAAAGCTAATAAAAGATATCGCCCTAAATCTATCATGAATCCATAAAGGGCACCTTTGTCCTTGATGCACTATCAAGGAAGATTCAGTTGTCATTGAACTTTCTTAAGAGAATCACATTAAGCGCCATGAGCATCAAATACGCATCACGCTATGAAGCTGTGTTCCTCTGCACACTCCTAAAAATGTCACAATTGACTTCTGCTAAATATATGAAAAAGTCGAAATCATTCGTACAGAAGTGGGTACAGCGATATAATGTGGCAAAAAATATCGATAATTTACCAGAACGTAGCTTGTTATGCAAAGTAGACAAAAAAAGACGATAAAAAAATCTGTTTTTGTGTGACGATGAATCTGCGGAATGACTTAACACTGCGTCAAGGACAAGCAAAATTAAAACAAAAAGATTTAGATATATCGTACGAAATTATTCAAATCTATCTCAAGTCTAATAATATGAAATGATGTAACACCACGTGTCGATCATACTCTTACTTGACTTATTGTAGCTCCGTAAAAGATCAGTCTGATTTAAATATCACCGATTTCAAAAGTAAAGAGTTCAATCTTTAACCTTCCAGAGGGCGCGTACGTATTCTCCATGCACACCGATTTTATGAAAGGGATACAGGTAAAATCTATTTTCTGGGTCTCGGCTTCTCAAGGTATTCCTTCAATGTTTTTCGGGCCGTCAATTCATTCAGATCGCGTATTCATTCTGTTAGCGTATATTGTTTACATATAATCAATTTTTAAGATATCAGGGAATTTTTTCAGAAAAAATGTTCCTGTGGAGGATACACAGGAATCGCTCAATGTCGGTGAAAAGCGAGGGAGATAAATTGTGCAAAAATACAACCACCATTTTAAAATGCAACAAATATTTTCATTTTACTTGCAAAAAACATTTCGACGACAATTATTATTTACAATAATTATATTATGAAAGCGCATAAAACTTTTTTTTTATTAATGTACATTTTCTAATAAAAGGTAACACTTATTTTTTTAAATAAATGATTATTTATATATCATAAACTTTCATTGCATAATGCTTATTTGACGATATTATGCTTTAATCTCTCAAATTTCTCAGTCTTCTACATGTTCTCTGTACACGGCGTGCCCGCTCCCATTATGAAAGGGCGCGCGGCCGCTGGAAGGTAAAATACTTTTTTAAAAATCTTATTACGATCATTTTTTACGAAGTTATTCTATCTTGAAGTAGAATCATTTAAAATTAAAAAGGTTACGTATCAAGGTTCACGTATCTCTGAAAATGATTACGAAATGTTTGAAATAATCGTTTTAAAGATTAAAGCTATAACTTTCGAATGCTTCAAATCATGTTTCTGTGTAAAAATTTTATTACAAATGATGCTAATTTGAAGTCGACCTTTTAAAATTAAAAAATAAACTTTAATTTTGACGAGGTGCACGGAATAAAAAATCTTCATTGGGTAACGCTAATGTAGGTGATAAATAAACATTATTTTTCAAGAAATGGTAAGAGCACTTCAAAAATTTCTATCAAAAAAACATTACATAATAATATAAGAGATATGTTTTACAAAAAGTGTTGTAAGAGATATGTTTTACGAAAGTGTTTTTTAGTTTTAGACATCTGTATTAAATTTCAAGAAAAATTTTTTTATTTTATAGAGTGTCAAAGGTATGTTATGTTAGAAAGCAAAATATTGTTCTCTTTTCTTCAGGACACAGAAGAACTGAGAAGAATTTTTTATTCCGTGTACGTCATGAAAGTTGAGTTTAATTTTTTAATTTTAAAAGATCGATTTCAAATTAGTACCGTTTGTAATAAAATTTTTACATAGGAACATGATTTGAAGCATTCACACAAGTTATGATTATACTTTAAGCTTTAAAACGGTTATGTTGGATTCTTCTGTTCTTATCGCTATTGATATTGCTATGTCTATCGTTATCGCTGTTGCCTTCGTATTGTGTTTACATAATCCCACGGAATCGTATATACATGAGTTCAATTGAGTGAAAGTGTTAGTTAAACACAAAATTATTCATCCACGATTTGTACCGACGAATTATCAAAACGGATGATTTTATCATGTAATAAAGAAGACTATGAAGATGTGCGGCGTATATCAAGATATCGACATCGGCAAAAAATACGCAATATTAAAATACGAATATTAATTTAATTTTTTGTTTTTTTTTAATGTTATACGAGACATATTATATAATATAGATATATTATAGTTTTGTGAAATAATCTAAATTTTTACATCTATGTATAATATTCGCATGGATTATTATATTATTAATTTTCGTACTTTGATCAATAACTTTATTGCTCAATCATTCTTCAATTTCTCTTTTTCTTAATTTATGGCGGTTGATCATAAATTAAAATGATCATAAATTGATCATAAATTTAAATTTTTTAATTTCGCTCATATTTTTCTTGATTATTCTATTACAAAACCTATTACGTAAATCTTCTTATATATGCGGCGTCGTTATAAAAAAGGATCAAATGCGCAACAGCGAAAATATCTGCTCAAAAAAGAAAATGAATAATGTATATATATATATTAGGTGTAGTAAAAAGAAATCCATTATTTTTCCAATAGATGGCTTTAGTAATCTGTATCTCGCGAACGCGAAATATTGGAAAAATAATGGATTTCTTTTTACTACACCTAATATATATATATATATTATTGTATTGTAAAATTGATAACATTTTTTTTTTTAACAAATTGAATAATAAAGGCAGTGAGTCAATGCAGGATGTTAAGTGCTAATAAATTAATTTTAATATTAAAATTTTAATAATACAATGCTAAACGTTTATGATCTAATGAGGGTTGAATCGTTTCGCATTGTACTATTGAAATTATTTTAATATTAAAATTCATTTATTAGTACTTAACATTCTGCGTTGATTCGTAGCCTTTATCATTCGATTTGTTTTAATCTTTTTGGGTCTAAATATATTGATTTTTATTTTTTTTTAATTAATGATAGAAGAGAATTTGCAAAAAAATTATTGTATTATAGGTATTTATTACTCAATCTATAATGCTGATTACATAAAAGTCTGCAATCTAAAAAGAAAGGGGGAAAGGGAGAGGAAGAGAGAGGGAGGGAGAAGAGAGAGAGAGAGAGAGAAAGAGAGAGAGAGAGAGACGTAGCATAATATTAAAAAATTTATCTATTTTAGGGCTGATTTTAATAAATACTTCGTAATAATTAACATAATTTCTTTGATTGATATTATAATAGAAACTGAGAAGAAAAACTCTAACGACGACAATATTTATTCTGTGAAATATATAATTTTTTATAATCTGTTTATATTTGGTAAAATTCTAAATCAAATTATCTGTTTTCCATATAATTGTAATTGAATTTACATGGTGACACTTCTCAATATTTAATCAATTTTATTTTCATTTTAGAACATTCAGTGATTTCGCCATGGAGATGGTTGGCTGCAGTTGTAATTCCACTTATATTCTTATTTTGGGGTATACGCAAGAAAAGTCTGGACATTAGCGGTGGAATTCTTGGTAGTGAAAATAATATAATTTGTTATGATTATACATACAATATAAGGCATCAATGTCCGTATCTACTAATGTAGATTAATTTTAATCTCAGTTTAACTTATTCTTCATCTTTTTTTTAATTTTTAGAGCTAGAAAAAAATGAAAAATTAGTTAAATCAAAATTAAAATTAAACTACATTGATAGAAACGGACAATAAGTAATATAAAGACCCGGGAAAAAATATTTCACATGTACAATTATATATAATTTTATATATATATTAGGTGTTGGAATTAATTCGTAGCGTTTTACAAGTGATGGGAAGTACTTTCATTAATGTATTTTTTAATGCTCATGTGAAATAAATAACATTCTTTCATTAAAAAACGCTACGAATTAATTCCAACACCTAATATATATATAAAATTATATATAATTGTACATGTGAAATATTTTTTCCCGGGTCTTTATATTACTTATTGTCCGTTTCTATCAATGTAGTTTAATTTTAATTTTGATTTAACTAATTTTTCATTTTTTTCTAGCTCTAAAAATCTTATTAAATATAAATTATAATTTCAATAAACGTTTCAACATAATTCTGAGTTATTCTCAGCATACATATATAAATGATAGTCTACTTAAGGTATTTTTCTCCGGTTACAATTGCGATTTAGAAAGTTAATTCGCGTACAATCTATGAATGTCTCTCCGCACGTTTTGTCTGAAGAAAGAAGCTTTTGAGGCGAGCGTACACATACATGCATAAATGTCATATCTGTGTGCATGAACATTAGTCCGCATTGAAGACATTGAAATATAGCAACAGCATATCCTTGTCTCGCCGCTCGGCGTTTGAGAAAGAGAATTTCGTCAAATTACAAATTTAAATTATTCTAATTCAGAAACGGTACCGCTAGGCCTCCATTTTTTAATAAGATTCCTATAATATTTCTACATTACATATTTATTTTTTTTTTAAATCTTTAAAAGATTTTCGTCGCAAAGTATTAAAACATTACTTCAGCAAGTCTTGATATAAAAGTTTATGTATTAAAAGCTGAAACTTTGAAGATCTCCATTAAAAATCTCCAATTAAATATCTCCATTTCGGCACCGCTAGGGTCTTTGAAATTTTAATCATATATAGATAAAATTATTTTAAACATAATCTAAATTTCAAAAATTTCGTAAAAACTCAATTTCTCGAAGAAATACCTTAAGAAATACCTGCGTTCCATAACACTCACGAGCGTTGTTTGTCCTTATTTAATATTTGATAAACGGCAAGAATGAATTGATAAGCATTGTTAGTGTAAGTGGAACGCAGCCTTCGTCGCATGTGTTACTGCATCGCAGAATGAATGTAACATTAGGGTTGTCAACAAATTAAATTCCTCGCGTCGTCAGAAGTAGGATATAATATTATCTATTACGCTGATTGATTGTAATATTATAATATTCGTAAGAGATAATATTATATAACACAGAACACGGAAATTTAAGACGTCAATAATCGGAGATAAATATAGAAAAATTTTGTGGAAATATATTCTTCTAAACGAATTTTTGCATTAGCTTTATAAGATATAATAATTATGTAGCATCAATTTGTATAACATATAATAATGATATTTAATTTATATAATTAATTAATTTTTATAGGTTTTTTTATGGGTTTTATCCTGACACTTTCGAGTTTTGCTCATTTGATGGCTCTTATAACGTTCTTCGTCACTGCATCAAAGGTGACAAAATTTCGGTCTGTGCGAAAAAAGAAAATGGAAGCCGATTTTAAGGAAGGTGGCCAACGGAATTGGATTCAGGTTCTGTGTAATGGTGGCATGGCTACGCAATTAGCCTTATTATATCTATTGGATGTTGGGAGCGGAGAACGACCAATTGACTTCGACAAGGAATATCGAAGTTCATGGTTATCCATTGGAATAATAGGTAACAGTCAATATTCTAATATTCTTTTTATAGAAATTAAAACGCTATTGCAAACAATTTTATTGAATTTTAAATACAATTTACAATTTTGCATTTTACAGGGGCATTTGCGTGTTGTAACGGTGATACATGGGCCTCTGAGCTTGGTACGGTGATTGGCACGAGTGATCCTTTCCTCATTACGACGAGGAAAAAAGTTCCAAGAGGTAAGAATGAGTTTTGTGGGATAAACGAATAAATTTTCTTTTTATTTCAAATAAGAAATCCTATACAATGCTAAGTTCTATACTAATCTAATTTGCCAATTACTAATAGAAAGTTAATTGTCATTTTTCTTACAATTACATTAATGATTTATTAATAATAAATAAACATATTATTAATATGAATTTTTCATATTTCGTTCCAGGAACGAATGGTGGTGTATCATGGACAGGTCTGGTATGTTCTGTCGTTGGTGGTTTAGTAGTTGGACTTTTTTATTATATTATGGTATTAAATACCGTTGACACAGCTGTACTGCAATTAGCAGCACCACAATGGCCCATCATAATCGTCGCAGCATTCGGAGGTCTCTTTGGCAGCATTTTAGATTCTATTCTTGGTGCGACTTTACAATATTCAGGTAATGTAAATGTACTTTCCGATTTCGTATGTTTCTTTATCGTTTTAGGTTCAGAAGAGTTTCTCGATAGTTTCATCAAATTAGATTCAAATTAAATCTTCATAATGTGCTATAATTAATACATTTTTTTAGGAGTAGACGAAAAGGGTATTATAGTCGAACGGCCAGGGAAAGGTATAAAATACATTTGCGGAAAACAAATTCTAGATAATCACAGTGTAAATCTCCTTTCTACTATTGGTGTCGCACTCATTCTTCCGAGAATAGCTAATATCTTCTGGCCATAAAGTCTCTTCTAGATATATTTTAAAAACAGAATATTCTTCTAATATTACATTTATTATTCTTACCTATATTCAAATAAATCGAATTGTATAACTTGTATATTAAAAGATAGGATTATGATGAATTTTTACAAATTGAGTTTAAAACTTGATACTGATTTTCTGAATCTAATTCATTTCGATTTCATTTATTTTAATATCCTTCTTCTTCCTCTTCCCTTCTTTTTATCTAGTAATGTGATAGAGAAGTTCATATCCCCCCTCTCCTCCAAGAGAAAGAGAATACTTACATATTCGGTGCTCCCTTGCACTTTCATTGTAGTTTGCATTTGACTTTCACGTTAAGGACGATTCAAATCCAAAATCGAACTTATATCGGATTTATAGTTAATTTTGTTGGTAAATGTTAGGGATATGCAAAAGTTTATCTCTTTTTCTATTTTCTTTTATTTTCATATAAGTACTATAATCAATTTTCATACAAATCTATCTTTAAAATTTTTTTTCTCATTATAACCTTATACCGATTTTTTGGCAAATTTCGAATTTCGTTGCGAAATCGAACTATTCATCATACAAGGACCAGAAAACTATCGTGCGTATTATAAACGAAATTCTAAAATAGTAATAATTTAAATGTTGATACTTTTTAGTAATGTACTATTTTATAAATTGCTTATAATGTTCAATTTTTAATTAAGCATTATTTATTTAATAAATAATGTATTATTAACGTAACTGTACTATTATGTTGTGCACTATTATTTAATGTAATTAAAATATGAATTGTATAAAAATATAAAATTCATATCTTTAATATAATTTACATGCAAATGTCACATTATATTATTTGCTAAAGCTATAGATATTTCTGTCATTGAAAGTAACATTGGAATAAATTTCTAGATTTATTTTTTGCATCTATAATATAGAAGCGTTTTATTATTATAGTATTCTAATAAAAGCTTGAATGATTTTCATAATTTGCATTTTTAAGTATAGAATATACGTGTAATATATATATTTTAAGATATACAGAATTATCGCATTCTCTTCTAGTTAGAAACAAAATTGCAAACAATTTTTATCAAACAATAACTTTTACATTTTTTAATTTTAACAATTTTAATTTTGAATTAAAAGAAAAAAGCATACAAGAAGAAAATTATATAAGGTACTTTTAAATTCTAATAAAATTGATTTTTAAATATATATATATATATATATATATATTTAAAAATCAATTTTATTAGAATTTAAAAGTACCTTATATAATTTTCTTCTTGTATGCTTTTTTCTTTTAATTCAAAATTAAAATTGTTAAAATTAAAAAATGTAAAAGTTATTGTTTGATAAAAATTGTTTGCAATTTTGTTTCTAACTAGAAGAGAATGCGATAATTCTGTATATCTTAAAATATATATATTACACGTATATTCTATACTTAAAAATGCAAATTATGAAAATCATTCAAGCTTTTATTAGAATACTATAATAATAAAACGCTTCTATATTATAGATGCAAAAAATAAATCTAGAAATTTATTCCAATGTTACTTTCAATGACAGAAATATCTATAGCTTTAGCAAATAATATAATGTGACATTTGCATGTAAATTATTAAATTTTAACTACGTATATAAATCAATTAAGTTACGTACAAGTAAAGTGATCTACATACATATTTTAATAATGAAAATACAGGACATCTCACACTTATTGATTTAAAATTGCGCGCGCACACGTTAATATATAATAGCGTACTATAATAATTGATTATTATAATACTATTAAAATTGATTACTATAACATTAACCAATATTCGCGTTAATATTATTATAGTAATCAATTTTAACTCATTTTATATGTAAAATAAAACATTAAGTAAAGTCAATGAGATATCCAGTACGTTTGCCTTCTATTAAATTTATAATATCATAATATCAGTGAAGTAAAAATTTTTCATAATGTAATTGTACGATTTAAGTTAAAATAGATTGTTTAATTAACCAACTGTTGCTCATACCTTTCCATGATATAATATTTACAGAATACATAGAATAAAAATATACCTAATAAAATCGAAAAATCACAGCAACATTTAAAACACACTAACGTTTCAAGCAATAATTCAACGTTGTATGAACGTCCAAACCAAATCCCGTAAATGTTTATCATACGGACAATGTACTGTCCAAAAACGTCTAATAGACGTTAGTACGTCCAATCCCGAATGGCACATAATTCGGAAATTATTCATTTTTTCTGATCTATGAGTTGTTGAAAATAAAGAGAAGGACATCGAACAATTATTGGGCTCCAAGATGAAAGTATATAAAGTTGTTTGATGGTTCTCAGACTTTACTGACGACAATTATTTGAGGACTGCTTGTTGCGGAATATATTAGCAACCAAGTATCTTGGACATCCCAAAATATTTGTGTAAATAACTTCATTAAAGGATGTCCCAGCAATGTCCTTGGAATTTATTATGATATTTTAGGCATCTAACATATAGCAACATAAACGGGACTTTTCAGGGCATATTTCGGACATGCAAGAATATCGAATTGTTGTTTGGAATGTTTCTCTTGAATTAATATTCGATTTAATGATGACTCAACTAACAATTTACTGACAGGCAATAAATTTGATCAAATTCTTATACATTCTTATACAAATTTGTTGCCTTTCTATCATGAAAAATTGGTAACATACTTTATCTAAAATCTGTCTTTGAAAGCTATATGAAATAAAATTGTCAAAGCAAAATTCAAAATTTAATTCCAAAAAGTTCAAGATCGAGAAAAAAATTAAATCCTTTTTCAGATTAAGAATTTAAAAATTAAATATTGAAAAAATATACAAGCTCATAATTCGATATAAAAGAAATGATCTAAAATTTTGTCTATTTAATCTATTTATAACTTAGGATTTAAAAGTTTAGAATGCCCTTCCCTCAAAAGAAAAAATTATTGTCAGCTTTTATAGCTGAGCTATTGATGCAATTTCTTACTATAAATTTGATCATAATTATGTTTTAATATGTTTAACTGGAATGAATAAAATTATAAAGTTTCTCTGTACAATTATATGATTACATGTAATTATTTTATCGCTTTATGCTCTATTACAGGGATTCCCAAAGTTGAATCGCAAAAATTTTTTAATGTTAAATTACACTTCATCACTTCAGGTAGTTATAGCACGAACTTGCGTATACATGCTCTTTCACTTTGTATATATGTGAAATTATATTTTCAACAATGATGAGAATTAAAACTGAATTCCGAAACAAACTATACAATTATCAAATTCCTTGTGTCTAAAAATGCCTCATATTTGATGTCGATCAAAGTTATTAACAAACAAAAAGAAACAATAAAAAATTGAAAAGTAGAAGCAAAGTACAAATGATACAATTAATTTATTCTTCCCCCCTTCCTACTTTTTCATATCTATTAAAGTTAGATAGGTCGCGGATGTATATAGTTTTAAGAAATGGGCATGATTCACGTATAAGTTTGGGAAGCCCTTTCTATTAAATATGAATATTTTTAAAAATATATGCAAAATTCATTGCTACATTAACACATTTCCTGCCAATTTTTAACTTTTCATTTGAACTGTGTGAGTCACATATGCCCAACAATGAGACTAATAATTTTGCTTACACAATACATATATGTTTAACATATGTAATACTTTCATACATAAAATTATAGATTATTATTATGAAGAAAACTAATAATGTTTCATAATGTAATAACTACATTATATATAATATTTAAGCATCAATATATGACCTGAGAAAAAATATTTTATATATAATTGTATATAATTGTATATAATTATATACATTTATATATAATTATACAGAGTGTTTCATTTTAAATGATATGGTCGATTATCTCACGAATCGATGATTTTATTGAAAAATTTTTCAAACGAAAGTTGCATGGATTGAAAGGGGACACATGATGGAAATGTGATCTTAAGCGATCTTGTCAAAATCAGGTCAAGGTCATTAATGGTTTTTTAAATGGAAACCTCTATTTTTTATTACATATTCTTATATCTCTAGAGCTTTCCAAAACATTATAATAAAGTTACGTTTCATTGAGTACTTTCCGAATTATGGAGCTTGAAGTTACAGTACCGCCGGCGTTATACATATACGCATGCACGTGTGAGCGGGATTTTTACGCTCCGCGATCTATCCACATTGCTTGACATATGGTATGCTCACGCACGCGGAATTGAATCCTTCCCAATTGAACGATTCAACTTTCCTCTTTTTTTCGTATAGCTTTTTCTTTCAATTTTTTTACATTAGGGCTTTTTCAAAACTTTTTTCAAAATGGCCGCTTACAGTTCAAATGAAATCGTTGATATTATTCTTGTGCTTGGTGAAGCTGGACGAAACTATTGTTAGAGCAGAAAGATTGTATCGTAATAGATTTAGACGACATTCAAATGTAGATAAAAAGAATTTTATTACGAGAGCGTAGAAGAATCCGTAAGATAAACCGCAAGCAAATAAATACTGAAGATGACATTAATGACATTAATGATCTCGCGTGTATTAGCAGTGCTAGCAAACTTGAATCCTCATATTTCGATTAGAGAATTGCAGCGTAATTTAGGAATTCCTTATGCCATTATGTGGAGGATTTTACAAAGATATAAATTCCATCTCTACCACATTACTTTAACCCAAGATGTAAATAAAAATGATATAGGGCTAAGAAAACAATTTGATCGTTGAGACTTACAAATGATAAGAGAAGATCCAACTTTTTTCCAGTATGTTCTCTTCAGCGACGAAGACTCATTTCATAACAATGGACAACTTAACAGGCATAACTATCATTATTGGTCCATATACAATCCTCACTGGACTCAATATGTTGATAATCAACATCGTTGAAGTTTAAACACTTGGTGCGGAATTGTAAATAGATATTTGATTGGTCTATACTTTTTTGATAACCGCTTAAAAATCTTATCTTTCTTTCTTGCAGAATAAATTGCCTGAGCTTTTAGAAGAGGTTGATCTTGCTACTCAATAAAAAATATGATGGCAGCAAGATGATACGCCATCTCATTCTCATCGTATTGTGACGGAATACCTTAATAACATCTTTCTGAAAGATAAATAGAGAGATATGGATATATTCGATGGCCTCCATGGTCTCCTGATTTAATTTCATGTGATTTTTTTTGTGGCGCTACATAAAAAATATTGTTTACAAAATTCCGACATCTGCAGAAAATATGAAAAATCGAATAATAACTAATGTTTGTCATAGCATTCTTCAAATATTTTAATTTCAACAGTAAAAAATTTTGAGAAACGATTGAGACTGTCTGCAAGAAAATGAAGCTCCATTTGAACATCTTATCAACAGCTAAAGACATCGAATTGATTTTGCCTTAGTTGGCCGGATCAGTCCCGATATTGCCTTAATCGGCCGGATCAGTGATCGATTTTGCCGGATCAGTGATCAGTCTTGCCTTAACAAGTACTTAACGAAAAATAACTTTATTATAGTGTTTTGGGAAGTTCTCGAGATAAACTACAAGAATATGTAATAAAAAATAAATTTCCATTTAAAAAAAACATTAATGACCTTGACTTGATTTTGACAAGGTCACTCGAGGTTAAATCCACATTTCCATCATGTGTCCCTCTTCAAGCCATGTAACTTTCGTTCGAAAAATTTTTCCATAAAATCATCGATTAGCGAGATAATCGATTATATCATTTAATTTTTTTTTAAATGAAACATATATCCTGTATATAAACTTATGTATAAAATTATATATATCTAATTATAAAATTGTATTATTAATTATATATATTTTAATTATATATTAAATTATATATAATTATATAAAATATGTCAATATAAAATATATTAATTTATATACAAATATATTAAATTATATATAATTTTGTATAATTATATAGAATATTTTTTCCCAGGTATAAAATATTTTATGACGTTTTTTTCATGCAGTAGGTAATACAATATCATAAAATATTAAATGAAAATTTAAAAAAAAAATATTAAAAAGTAAAGCGGGAAGCACAGACTCTTGCATAACGCATAACACGTAATGCATAAGAAAATGTAATCAAAGTCTTTCGTTTCCTTCTTTTCCATAAAATAAAGAACTCTGATGGCCATTCTACAATAAGCCATTAGTCATAAATCAAAAGTTAGAAGCTGGAAATTGACCACAGTCGTCAATTTCCAGCTTCTAACTTTTGATTTATGATTAATGGTTTATTGTAGAATGCGTGTAATTGGTTGATTTTCTTATGTCTTATGTGTTATGCGTTATGCAAGAGTCTGTACTCCCCGCTTTAGACACGAGGCGCATATGCGGCAGGGAACGTGTTAAATGAAATGATCGCAATGAAATGATTAATATACATGTCTGGAATTTAAATGTCAAAACTTCAGGAGCGTGTAGGGGATCAACAAACTAAGAAAAAAAGTCCTGAGAGATATGCTCGTTTTTGTTTCGTTTTGAAGAAAATCGCAAAAAAGACAAAACGTAGTTGCTTCGTTCTTGCACTGCCTCTAAATATTATCGTCACTAAAATCGTACATGAAATCAATAATAATAATTCCGTTTTCAAGTGAAAACTTTTTTGTTTGTTTTTGTCTAATGAACTATTTTTTTACTTGACAGATTAAATGCAGCAAGATATACAGATTTTTTGGAGACTGGCTTCTTTGATTATTTATAAGACATCCACCTGCAACCGGATTGAAATGTGGTTCAACTCGATGGTGTCCAGCTCATTATAACAGAACTACTCGAGCTTGGCTAAACAGACATTTTTCACAACGATGGATTGGATGTGGAGGAATAGTACCTTGGCCACTCCAATCATCTGATCTGATTGAACTTCTTTGTATCCTGAAGCAAGAAATTTATTCATCGTCAATTAACTTAAGAGAACAATTGAGAAATTGAATCGAGGCTGCAGTGCACTACATATCGCTAGATTAGCTACAACGTGAGCTGTCCTAGATGCAACGCTTGCGTTGCTGCAAGAGGCCAACATTTTAAACAATATCTATATTAAGCAAGTAAATAAATACAACATAAATAAGTAATAAGAAAGTATAAAAATGAAAATTATTAGTTTTATTTTTTTTTGCGATTTTCTTCAAAACAAAAACGAGCATATGGGAGCATATGGGATTTTTTTTCTTAGTTTATCGATCCCCTACACGTCTCCCGAAGTTTTGACATTTAAATTCCAGACACCCTGTATAAGAAATGATGACAAATATACAGTTTATTAGAGCTAAATGATTAATGATTCGTAATATTCGTAAAACTACTGCTATCACTACCGTTTATAACGACCTTTTATTAACTGCAATGCCTTTGCCATAAGTGGTGCCTTTGTCTTCTTCATGCCACTTGATGCTAACAAAAATAATTATTGGTTAACATATTATTGGTTATCATAATATTCAGGGCCCGGTAAAATAATTTATATGACTTATTTAAAATGAAAAACATAAAATAAGTTCCAAGAACTTATTTAAAATATTAAATAAGAAATAGGTCAAAAGAAATTATTTAAAATAATAAATATATAACTTTTTAATTTTTTCATTTAAAATATATATTTTAAATAAATATATTTGAAATAAGACCGAGCCCTGAATTAATATTAATATTATAATAAAATTTTAATTATAATGAAATTTTTGAAATAAATACATACTTGATGCTTTAAAGCGAGACATCGGCGGTGGTGGTACAGCAATATTCGTTGCATTGTTAACTGCACCACCGCCAGTTAACTTTTTCTTTACACTGGAGATAGTAGCAGGAGTGGCATTAGCTGTACCATATTTTGCTTGTTTTTTCAATACATTACGTGGTGGTTTCACAACATTATCTACATAAGCAAGTTTAGTCGATCTCATTGGGACGGACTTATCAATAGATTGTTTGATATTGGCGGGGGGGGGTTTTTATTTTTTTTTTAAGCAGCGCTATTTAATGTTAATATGCATTACAATGTTAATATAAATAAGGCAAATTATAAGTCTATTCTATAAAATTTTAAACACATCATTGCATACATTATTGTTTTATAATTCTTAATTTATTTACCATGTACATTTCACGCCATGATTCCATTTCCTGTCTGTCTTTATTCTTAAACTCTCGATTACAATGATATTTCCATAATACGTCTGTGTCTTCTATGAGGTATGGATTATGATGCTCTAACATAAATAATTGATCACATGTGGCACGTTCTAGGATTGGCTTTAATATATCATATGGTACACCGCCAGTAAACTCGAGTGCTAGCAATAAAAACATTTATCATTAGAACATTGGAACATTCGACATAATTTCATCGGAATCAAGAAAGACTTACCATCGATATTTTCTATCAACACTCTGATGCATATTTCATATAATGTCGGCACGCTTGTGTAACCAACCTTGTTACCAGAATACACTTTTGTTCTGGAACAAGAATAAATAATGCATAAAGTAAACAGTACAATAATAGATATATTAAGATATAAAATATTATTTTATCATTTGTATTGCAAAGAACTACCTTTGATTCTTGATATAAATGATATCATCAACAGACTTTATTTCTTCTTTGCGTTGCATAGGATTAACGTATGGCAGTGGTTTGTAATTGGGACTAATTTCAGGTAATGTAGATGCCAAATCCACATTTAATGGTTCCAATTTTACATTTGGTGCTAGAAGAGATGGTGGCTAAAAATAAAGTTTTTAATTGTTAGATTTAGTTCTTTTAATAATTGAAGATAAAATATAATAGAATATAAAAGAATATAAAAATTACATTTGGATTGTCATCGCATTCTGGTTCAATTTTCACAGCTGGCAATTTTTTATTAGTAACAGGAGACGTCAGTTCTGTTTTACTTGACTTACTGGGATTTGAATTAGATGAATTACTCTGACGTTTTTTTGATAGCTGAGGCATGGAGCACATGCCAAGTGCTTCTGCGAAACTTGCACCTGAAAAGAATAGAAATGTGACATGGGTGTATCCAATATTCATTGAATAAACTTTCATGTAAAATTACAAATTTTATACAAACGTTTTGTATAAAATTTTTGTACAAATTTTTAAAAATATTCTACATTTATTTTTTTAAATAATATTAATTAATTTAACTACTCAGTAATATTATTTATCTATTAATAGTATTAACATTGAATAGAATCGAATTCAATATAAGAAATTTCAAAAGACAAACTTTATTAAACATAAGAAGTGTTGGTTTAAAATATTGTGTGTACAGTTTGCTGAATTTAATTATTTTTTTATTGCATATAATTTTCTATCCTTATTTTATTAACTATAGACTTTGTAAAAATTAGATATTGATTCAAGATAAAATATACGTTTATTAATATATAAACAATAACTGTGTTCAAAATTCATTATCAGTGCTGACAAATATATAGTATATGTAACGTAAACTGTAGATTTTCAGCGCTGTTTTGAAACACAGCCAACATGTATCAATGTATCATTTATTTGTTATATTATAAAAAGTAATGTAAAAAATGTAAAAAAAACTTTATGCAAAAATACGTGAGAAATTTTGGATGAAATTTTAAATAAAATTAAATTCTTATTTTTTTTTTAGTAAAAGCTATAAATTTAAGAATATTTAAGAATATTTTGATTTTATAAAATAAATAAGCTTTTAAATGTATTCTATGACATTAAATTCTACAATGTTCATAAAAATTAGTTTAATTTCATATATAATTTATTTTACAATTAAAAATAAAGAATGAAATAAATATAATATATAAGAGATTTAATATATGTAGAGTACGACAAAAAACTGAAACTGAAAACTTTTTCCGAAACTGAAAACAAATAATATGTCAATTTCGACTGAAATCATATTTCTTCTTCATAAATATTATTTTTAATATGTGTAATTATTGTTTCAATAATTAAATTATGATATTTATGAAGAATAAGTATTTATATTCTTCGGTCAAAATTGACACAGAACCGAAATTTTAGTTTTTTATTTCGGCTGAAATTTAATTTATTGTTTCAATAAATTAAGATGTTTATGAAGAAAAAGTATATGATACAGGCATGTCTGTATATAATGATCTTTATAAGATTCCTAATTTTTTAAATTTTGGTTTTGGTTTTGGTTGAAATTGACATATAGCCAAGTGTTTCGGTTGTTTCGATCAGACTCTAAATATACGATAAGCAATATGAATTAAGATAATATAATATAATCTAAGAAAAATAATTTTAAAACGAAATATGATTTTATTTGTAAAGTTCTGAAAATTTATTTATTTTTTAATTATAAGTATTTAAAAATTATATTTTTATAAAAATTGCTCTCAGATTATTGAATTTTATTTATTTATATTATATATTATATTATTACTTTTAAGTACATAATGTGACATAAATGATTCTTTTAACACACCAGAATTGCAATCTATTCCTTCATCACCATTTATTTCTTGCATTAACTTAATTTTTGTCTCTTTTTTCTTCTCATATTTACTCTTATTCTCCTTATGCTCCTTTCTCTTAT